AGGAGGAGCTTGTATATGTAGCAATTGTATGGTGAAAGATCGAATTTGTGAAAAGTAGCATTGTACGTGTTAGTCCAATCCCTGTTCAGACGGAAATTTTGTGGATGAGGAGAGCTAGGTAGAACTTTTAAAAGTGTACCGCAGGCACCTAGAACCGCCACCATAGGCCGGTGTCAGACTTAGCGAACCCAGCGATTCGCTGACAGCAAATTCGTGAAATCGCTAGTAGCGTATCCAGCTGTTTCTAGCGAATTTGCTGATTCGGACAGCGATCAGGGGTCGAAATGAGAAGTCGTAAGAGAAGTTTCGCGGAGAACTTTCCAAATTTTAAAAACACTGTTCGACCTTCCCCACCAAAACCATTAGCCCGAAATGCCTCCTTGCAATTCAATGACCCTGATTACATAATTGCAGACGACATAACTCAGTTACAATAGAGCCATTCGAAAAGGCTTTGAAAGGGGGAAACAAGCAAGGCCCGCTAACTGGGAGCCACTAATCAACGTCAGAATAGCTTTGTGGACATTCTTTGTGCTCAGTTGGGATAGCAACTAATTCATAGGCCTCGAGACACCTAATAGAATAAGCCAATCGATGGCCAAATGGGGAAGTTGCATTCCGGATGAGAATTTTCTGGGGATCTATACTGAACAGAAATGACATAGATGGCATAATATATGAAGGTTGGGGACGTTCGGACAAGTTCCTTAGTAATGAGGCCGTTTCAGTGATGATGTCGATAGAGATGGAAAGAGAGAAGAATTGCTTACCACCGTAATGGAACTATCGGTAAAAACGCTAACCCATCAATCAAGGGCTCATTCGCAGAATCAGAAGAGGAGAATAGACGCAGGCTGATGAAGGAGCTAAATGTACCGATCCGGAGTATCACATGGGCGACTACTCGAGGAAAGCAATAAAGGGATGGGTGGAGATAGGAATTATTCGGAAAGCCTAAATTAACAACACCAAGATCCAGCTAGCGTACCATGAATGTCCTCTGTTGTCAGATGGGAGGTAGCATTTTATGTTGACCTTCGTAGAACGTTTAACGCGATTATCACTCCATTGTTCATGTTTTGTTACGGGATAGGGAGCATTTCACCTTCCAGTACCCGTCAAAGGGCGTGGCTTAGAGTAAGTGAGGTCTGTGAGGTATCAGTTATTTGGGCCCTCATTCCTGTCTTTTGAAAAGCTATGAGTGACCAAGAAAACGAAGAGCAACAGCTCTACGGCAACCACTCACAGATGACATAACTTTGTTTGTCAAGAGCAAGACGCACCCGAAATCAATAATGGTCTCACCCATGAAAAAGCCAAGTATAAGCTCAGAAAATGGTCAAGCCCAAACTCTTGACGCTGCTGGACCACAGAGGTTGAAGTAGCATTATTTAGGTGACGCTCCAAAGAAATCGTCGCATTCGGGATCGTCTGAGGTTTCACCAGCGCTACTCTTAAGACGATATCCTGATTCAGCCAGCCCCTCGAGCTGATGTGGAAAATTTTGACAAGAGTAGCCAGTCTGACATATTGCGATATGCGATATTCAAGAGCCTAGGGCAGGGAACGAACGGAAACGACAAAGTTGAAAACCTAGACAAATGGCCAAATGCTTATGAATCCCTACTCTCTACAGGCTCAAGTTTTTTTTCACCCATTTTTTTAACCATGGGCAAGGTTCTTGGACGACACAACATACCTTTCACTAACAAACGGGCAACCCATACATTGCCGCATCACGTGCACTACAACGAGTACGTGACCCTTGGTAGAACTCTGCCCCGTAACATCAAAGCACAACGTCAAAACAAAACACAAAAAATTGCCATGATGGCTCCTGTCTGCCCGGTACTTTTCGTAATCCAAAAACGAATAATAATGCATGAGGGAAAATTCATCTACAAACGCTTTCTTTTTGAGAGAAAGTTATGGAGCAGAATAAACCCATTGAGTTACCAATAAATACCCGTTCTCAAGAACAACAATGTTCGATAGGATTTATTTTTTCCAGACCTTTCTGGCGATACCAGAGAATCTATATTGAGCTGAGCATAATACGAACGACTTTTTTTTGAGAGGGGGGGGGGTGACAACGCTACTCCTTGGGTCGTAATCACCGAGTGCCAAAATTTGCACTGATTATCCATAAACAAATCGGCTTGTTATTACATTTTGTCGCATTCTATTTCATTTCAGATTAGTGGAGCTATATGAAAGCGCCTTCAGCTCCATGAAAAGAAATAAACAGCTGTTTCAATATCCTACTCTTTCGAATGAACTCACTATACACATATATCCTAACCTCTACAATCCTCCTGCTTGGGAATGGATCGATAAGATCTCACTCATATCAAGCAGGGTCACAGAATCACTCCCATTCTCTGTTCATTCAATCTATCAAAAATGTCGTACGGGATTAGCCATCGTGGGCAACAAATCAAAAGCGTGCAGGCAACCTAGTTTCTTTTGAATTTAAACCCGATGTTTCTAGGGTTTCCAATGGGATAAAGAGCTCTAAATAGTTATGGAAGAGCTGCAAAAGCCATGGAAGATATACAGAAAGGGAAATTATCATCAGAAAACCAAAGCCAGTTCTCTTTTCCACACTGGGGAGAAGGCATCGTGTCCTTGAAGTCCAAGCCCTTTTTCGTCAACCTCATAATCTCCTAATGACCCAATTGACTGAGAAAGAATCCCAAGAATCCTTCGCAGAATCAAGGGCATTTGATTAACCCTTTTCATGAAGGCTCTGCTCCCAATAAAGCCGAGGTTAATCGATTCCAATCTCTGAAAAAAGATCTTTGTCGGCCATTTCTCGAAAAAAAAAATTAGCCGTTGGCTGAATCCCCTCCACTTCAATGCTATTAGAAGTAGCTCTCCAAGAGGACTCTTCGTAAAGAAGGCACACTGGGGATATCACCTGTGCGCCTTTGTTGTCCTTACTCTTTTAAATGATTAAAAATACCATTTACATATTTAATTTAATAACACTCCATATCCGAAAGTTGGGGTAGGCGTGTCACCGGAAGTGACGTGCACTTGATAGAAGTGCGTGGATAAGCTGCTTCCAACATACATCGCTGGATATCAGCAAAGCATGCTGGCAACAGCTTATCCACGCACTTCTATCAAGTGCACGTCACTTCCTCCGTATAACTCCTATCCCAACTCTCGGGCCATTGCCCACTTAAGTTTAAAGGCGGAGAATGAGAAGCAAAAAAGAAGCGGGTAGTCTCGTCGCCTCTACTTTGGGGTCTTCTGTGCTGTCCTTGCATACGCCGTTCTCCAGGTACCAAGGCAGGCGTCGGCAGAAATTCCGAAATTGATCATGATTCAAAAGGTTTTTTATAAGAGTACATAAAATTAACACTCCAGGGAGACTGGCGCAGTGTTTTACAAACGTTCGCGGCAGGCCAACCGGGTACGAGGACTTCTTCGTGGAGATGTCTTAGGGATCAGACTTATCTAGCAAATTCAAAAGAAGAACCCGTTGTGTAATGCAGAAGAAATCTTATCGGATAAAATGGGAAAGAAAATGAATGAAAAACCCTAATAATTGTTTCGAAATGCGAGCTGAAAGAGTCCTATGCGGTCGGATAGGGCTGCAGCCCACATAGTGGAGCGGGCTTGTGGCGGCTCCAAGGGGTTCGTTAGAGATAAAGTGCATATAACGATGGCAACTTATATTAACGCAGAGATCAAATAGAGCAGCGATTCCATTCAAATCGTAATAAACATGTCGGGACGAAGCATCGAATTATCATTAGTCCGATGTACCAAAACTATCAAACTACCGCCAAATAGGGGCGACACCAAGATGTCTTCGACATCCATCAATTTAACGCGGGGTGAGAGAAGTGTTGGCACGTGAGGTTCGTTTCGATAGAGAAGGGGGTCACCGAGGAGTATGGTTGCGCAAGAATGCGAGAAGAGTGGAGTGCGCGTGTTGGGCGAGTGGGCCTGATGTTGGAGATCTGAGAGGTGGGTGGTGCGTTGGCGTAGGAGAGAGTTGGCTGATTGGAGGAAGGGTGTGTTGTGTGTTATAGTTGAGAGAGTTGGTGTGTGAGAGCGGTTGCGAATGGGGAGGCGGCGCAGTGGAGTCAGGTCATTGGTTGTGGAGAAGATGGCAGGCGGTGCGGACCTTCGGGTGCGAGGAGTGGGGGGGGCGTTGGTTGCGTACGAGTGATCAGTCGTTGTGGCGCCGTGGGGCTGCGGCGTGTGATCTTGAGGTCGGGCTACGGAGTGCTGCGGTGCGTGCTCAGGCGAGGAGGTGAGAGTGTGTGAGGTATTTTATGCTTCGCGGGAGGGTTCAATCTCTGATGTGTACAGGTGGTGGGGGTTCGGGGAGGTGAGAGTGTGGGGGGTGAGTCAGAGTGTGTTGTTGAGAGCGTGGCGAAGGTGTGGTGGGTCGGGCGGCGGACCGACGTGTGTGTGTGGGGTTGCGGTCGAAGGTGGTCGCGGCGTTTCACGTCATAAGCGAATTTGGTTACCTTTTGTTTATGTTGTTGTCGAGAGAGGCTGAGGGCGGCGAAGTGGTCAAGCTGTGGGGCGTGGATCGATGGTGCGGTGCTGGTCAGTAGTAAAGAGATTTGCTCGGAGTGAAAAAGTCCGAGCTGCTGGTGTTTTGAATAGTATAATAGAATAATCCGGATATGTGTATACGAGGTGAGATTGTTGTGCAGTGATGAGCCGGTACAAACGTAGAGGCGGCAAATCTTGTTACGCGGATTGCATCCATTGCCGATTAAACGGAAAGAGGCGTCTAGAATATGCGAGAAGGCTGGATCGCTAGCGTAAGCCTATGTGCCCGATGTTCAGAAGTCATGCGCTCTCTTCATTCCCGGTAGTAATGGATAAATTAGAGTATGATAGGTTTTTGCGGAGACTGTACCTTAGGATGGTGTGTGGAGTGCTACAGCGCTTCCTCTACCCACGTACCACTTTCGCTCCCATTGAGGAGAAGATGTTTTTTATCTGCATGTCATCAGTTGTGAAACTAGTCACTCAATAGCTAAATTACCTAGGTTAGTAATGGGATGAAGGAATCAAAAAAATCGAGAAAACCGGTCGGATCTACAGAATCGACAAAACGGAAAGGGATGGCGAATACCAACTAGACGATAACATTCATGTTTATTCAATGGATCTAATGTGCTGTTCATATACGGAAGAATGACTCAGCAACCTTCTGCTTCTCTCCGACCATTTTCCATAAAGTGAGCCGGAGAATATCACCGATAACTATTCACTGCAGTTTTTTTTTTCTGAGAACAGGAAATAAGCTAGTTAGACAAGCAGGCGGTAACATTTCATATCAGCGGATCTCTGCCTCTCTGACGCACTTCTCCGCAAAGATTATGGAAAACTTACTACATAACAACTTAAAAGCTGTACTACGTGCATAATTATCTTTTTAACACCCCACCTTGGAAAACAGGAAAATAAAAGGATTTGCGCGTAAAAAATGCTCAAAGATTGGAAACGCTACTCAACAGTATCACAACATAAAATCAAGCAGGGAAGATTCAAAAAGGGAATGAAAGCAAACGAAGCAAAAAGTCCTAGCGAACCTGTGAGCCGATCAGCTCCATCAAGGGAAAACATAAACGAAACAAAAGAAAAATCGATAAATCGATTCATGTTAAAACACTCACTTATCAGTAAAGGATCCTCGATCGATAACAGCGCCTGTTTTTTGTCGCCATCACGACGCACCTCTTTCGGTGTGTATCGCATATCGACCACCGATATACCGACACAATCATAGTTGACTTCCTAAACGAACGAAATCTGTGATTCGCTGAATTATCGATTGGTTGGCCGCTTTATGGATTGATAATCAGTTGAGCCCAATCATAATGGAAGAGTCATCGTAAGTCTTGTTCGAAAAATGAGTTATTACGTTATTTTGTCAGCCGAGGAAATAGAGGTAAGTGGAGATGCGTGCCGCAGTGCTTCGAGGTGTTGTTTTGGACAAAATCTCTTTCCGTCCAGGGGTCGAAGTTTGGATCGGACCTTAGGCGAATCAAGCCCTGCATTGACGAAAGTTCTGTAAGGTGACACCAGGCTCCACTGGAGGAAGAACAACGCTGGAATGCACAATCTCCTCGGGTGCCTGTTCAAGTCGTTGAGTAGACGTTCCATATCAATGGCTCTGCTAATCTATATAGAAGTGGAGCACGTGACGCAACCCGGAAGTAGACTGATCGACTTCGGAATGCTCCGCTTTTCGGGGCACTTCGCCGTATTGAATAATGCACTATACTCGTCCCAACTGAAATTGGAAAGAGCTAATGTTCAAAAGAAAAAGGCGGCCGACTGTCATTACAAAAGCCCCCGATATAAAAACCTGTAAATTGAAATTATTTATATTTTCCCATGCGAAGCCCTACGCTTTTCCTTTAGTAGCTAATGGTAAGGGCAACACACTGGACCCAAAGCGCTTTCTATTCACTCTGATAGTCAGAGATAGGGGAAAGACAAACGAGGCTGTTTTTCATTGAAATATCCCAAAGGGATTATTCTCTGCACTTTCCTCGTCATCATACTCCAAGTATCACTTGACAGGGCTTACACAGTTATCAGAGGTGATTATTCCATGAGGATCAGAGATGGCCTTAATGGATGAAAGGAGAAGCTATCAGTAGAATCTACGGAACTCTTCATCCGACGTACAATTTCACTAAAAAAACAAAGGACACCATATTGAGGGTTCACAAAGAACTATAGCTCTTGAACGTGCGGTCCTACTTCACTTGGGCTAAATATGTACATCGAGATTCGAAGCTGGGTCAACCGTCATGTTGGACCAACTCCGAAAATTTTACGACCCCCTCTCCCCTTCTAGAGGGCCTCGATACGACCCCCTCTCCCCTTCTAGAGGGCCTCGATACGACCCCAATCTCCCAGGGTTACCCCTCACGACCATCCTCCACTCCTCCACAACCCTCGCCTGCCATCGCCATCAATAGGGGCGATTCTATAGTATTTGATTCAATTTTCGCACTCAAAATCCCAGCCAACAACCCTAATACGCTCTCCCGTTCCATAAAAAATCATCCCCTCCCTTACTGTAACATTGACGCTACCTCGCGAAATACGACCCCCCTCTTCCAAAACCCAAATACGATCCCCCACCCCCTCGTTGGACAAAGTCCAACGGACGGTTGACCCTGATTCGAAGAACAGAAGTCGATTCCAATATATACCCTGCAAGTTGTATTTTCGACGATCAAAATCAAGCATAAAAAGGACTGCACCTGCGAGTAACCCAATCATTTCTGCGGATTGGTGGTTATACCATGTGCGCTTATGAGAATTCCATGGCCATGCCGTTCATCGTTGGAATTAGTTTCCTTTCAGCTCCGTCAAGGGCATTCTTGCATTTATCTAATGAATCTCAACCACATGACCTTCCACGAGTTTCAGTCACTATGTAGTCCTGGACGCCCACTCAGCGTACTCACAGACTCACAGATCTCGCACAACCTTTTGGTCCACTTGCACTTAAGCCACCACTAAGCGAATGCTCTACCACATTTACCGTCAAATGTGCTTCCAATCCCACTTGAAGGAGGGAAAACCGAGTTCGAAGGAGAAGCTCTAAGTGGTACAGCTCCTTGGTGCTGATTCAAAGAGGAACAGCGTTACGAATGACTGAGTGTAACTGCAAGCTCATTCACTCTTTTGAATGTAAACCTTCACTGAAGGCAAATTTCTCAGTAGCGGACGTCGCTATGGAAGCTCAAATATGATACTGTATGTATTTTTACCCGACGACGGCGATATCACAGAAACAAGGATATCGTCTTGAATAAGACGCGTCAAGCTGGTTGAAGGAATCCGAGTGAAGCTCTTGTATGAAGGGACGACCTACGACGCAGAAGAGTGCGAGTTCGGGCGAAAGACTCGACAATGGGAAGACGAGAAACTATGGAGATCACAGAGGCGCTGACACCAGCCTGAGGTTATTCTCAAAAAGTGCGTCGCAGAGGAGGCAGTATTGCGAGCGCTTCGAGCCCTTGCTACGCCCTTCGGAGCCGTTGAATTAAAAAAAATGTCTGGTTGAAAGACGGCCTATCTCACTGCCTTTGAAGGCACATCCCGCAAATGAAAAGGTGGGGAAATGCACTCGGAAATGAACGTAGTTCTAGTGACAGCTCACCAATGATGAAATTCAAAAAAATGCTAAAACTATTTGAATTTCATCCCTGGTACAAGCTGAGTTGGAATGAAATGGTGCCCCGGTAGCGTAACTGGTAGCGCACTTGCCCGGAAAGCGAGAGGTGCGGGTTCTAGTCCCGCCTGGGGCGAAAGTTTTGTTCACAACCCAGCATTCTTGTGAAACCGCTAGAAGTCTTTAAAACCACATCAAACGCAGATTGCATGAGCAGCTGCGTTCCACCACTGCGGTCTCACTGGTTCACCTCTTCTGATACGGTTGAATACAGTAAATATGAGCACAACCAATGAAGTTTTCGCAAAGACTAGCGCAAACCCCGCCCACAGGGTCGGCGCCGATGTGATCCCGAAGATCTTAGCAGAGCCTAGCCATTTTTTATCCCTGATGGATCAATTACCGATAGCAGCTCCATTTCCGACGCAGAGCTTTGCACCTATTCAATCACGAATTTATTTAACCCTCTGTAACCACGCGGCAGCATAACAAAATGCCATCTGGAAGCATTTGGGAATGCCTCATCTTTCCAACAACGTGATGTATACTGGACCAACAGAAGACAGAAGGCCATTACTTAGCGGTCCTCTCTAGTATGCCGTTTTTGCACACGAATGAGCAAAATAAAGTGAAGCGAGCAAAAATTTGACCGCGGCATTTATTGAGCGCATGATTCATAGATCGAGCTCTTATCTGATGCAGCCTAAGCAAGAAATCCTCGATCTCCTCCAAAAATGATTCATCGAGCGGGGCCTTCGCTTTTTTGGCGAAGATTATCAGTTCTCAAGGTAGGATGACATGAAATTCCCTCCAAGTATCGGCACCAATCAAGCAGTCTCCAAATAATAGCCAGAAGTAGTCAAAATTTTTCGCAGACAAAATACCTTCGAAAGAAGACCACGGGAAGAAATGGAGGGGTTGAATACGAATTCACTGAACGCGGGTAAAAGGATCACGCAAAAATAGCAAAAGCATCCAATGAATAGTCATGTCTTCGGATACAACCAAATAACGTATTTAGTAACTGGTAAGTAGACACTTATCGAAGATATATGGCGCTATTCGTTTCATTGTCATTGAAAAAGTCGCTATCGTGAATGAGTTAGGTTGGTCTATGAACGCAAGGGACTGCCATTTGAGCTACGCATGGGAAGGGACAAATGCGTTGGCCTCTGCTTACATCTTCCTCTACACTCTATCGTCTCTCTCGTCTCAACCCATTCCCCCTACTCGGCACCTCGTGTTCTTACCATTAAGTCTGTCTCGTAGACTCGTTCACCATTGTCACATTAGTTCGCACCTGCTGATTCACTTTTCAACTCGATGCGTTTCTTCTACTGCTAAATGTATCTTTGAGTTCACAACTTCCCTTTCCCATGCTATGGTTGCCTTGAGTTGACCAAATGTTCCTCAAAATGAGCTCATTTTTTTCACGATCATCTCAACACTAGAGTTTGAAAAATAGAATAGAATGAGCAAGACAAATCAATACGTATCCAATGTTCACAGTTACCTGAGCATAGACCTCGAAAAACCGCATAAGAAGCTCGCCAAGATTGACCTCGGGACTGTACACATGTTTTCGACGCACTGGCATTCCATAGTGCTGAAAAGAATCAGTGAATTTGAAATTTGCATTTTTCTAGATAAGATCTCTCTAGCTTCTTTTATCAAGGGAAGGTGTACAGCTTGGCAACACGAAAGATTTGATAGAAAACTTGAAGAAAAAGGCACAAGTCACTTAGAAAAAGCAATCCATAGAGCATCAAGGAATAAAGTTGTGTGGCTGTTTTATAGACTCTTAACAAACGCCATAGTATAATAGAAGCAGGTAAAATTAAAATATACACCTCGGGATGACCAAAAAACCAAAACAGGTGCTGATAGATTAACGGGTCGATCTTATTTTGGGCATTCTACTTCCGTC